CTGGTTTAATGAATTCCAGGAGTCAGAAAAGGAGAAGAGCTCATGAGAGGAGTGTCCCTGGAGTTCATTCCAGATCACACTGGTTTATGCAACTGATTCTCTGTTGTTTTGTTTTTTGGCTCTTGTTGTTCTGTTGAAAGCCTATTTTGTGTTTTGCACATGTTGTTCTTCTTTCTCCTTTCCCACTGTGCTTGTAGGAACCACTTAGGCCCTGTGTCGTAATGTCCAAATAACTCCAAGTTTGTGCTGCAGTAGGTTGGTGTGAACCAAAAAGCAGGTATTGGTCTGTGTGTGTGGGCTTCCTGAAGACCTCTACCTGGAATCGCCGGTCCTCTCCTATCGTTACTGCACAATCTAAAGAAGCCAATGTGTTATTCTTGGCATCTTCCCGGGTCAATTTGGTGTTCAGATCTACAGAATTAATATGTGCAGTAAAAGGCTCCAAATCTTGAATTTGGGGTGGAGTTAGTCAACCGGGGGAGAAATTCTTTGGAAAGTACTTCTTTTTCCCGGTTGGAAAGATTTTTCACATATTGTTCTCTGTGTACAAACTGGCTCCTTCTTTTTATCACTCTGATCTCTGCGGTTTGCTTGACCTAGATTTTGGAGTTGCATAAACTTCCTTATCTTTGGTTTTGTTGTGTTGTCTTAACTGGCCTCTGGATATCAAGTTGTTGATTCTCTGAAATATTTCTTTTGGGACTAAAAAAGCTAACCTATTTTGTAAGCTTTCTATTTCAAATTTTAAGTTTTCAATGTGGGAATTACAGGTACCACAGTGGGATACCAGTGGCAAAAAACATTGTCATTGTGTCCTTAGGCAAGACACTTCACCCACATTGCCTAGGATGAAAGTGGTGTGTGCGTGAATGGCACAGGGGCTGATGGCACAGATTGGCAGCCTCACTTCTGTCAGTCTGCCCCAGGGCAGCTGTGGCTACAATAGTAGCTTACTACCACTAATCATGATAATCACTTAAAAATCTCACCTGTGCTCTGGCCACAGCCGGTACAGCCTGTGGTCATATTTATGGTTCAATGCTCTCTCTGTGATCCAGTTGATGAGACGAGAGGGGAGCAGACTTGTTAGAGTGTTGGAAAACCTGTTAATAGCAGTCATGTCTAAAGGAAGGCCACTGTTTGACATCCTCCCAATCACCCAGGCCCCTGTACGTGTGCTGAGAAAAGTCTGGAAAAGCCACTCAAAAGATCAGTTCTATAATTACTATTAAATGTTTACACAGTATAACAATTAATCAGGCATAGCATAACCTGTTTTTTGTAACATCAAAAGAAATTGTATGTTTATTAAATTAACAAATATACAAAGATAATATTGATATACATATATACTTCTCATATTTTAACAACGTGCTACACTTACACTATTGACCTTTGGCTCAACGCAGTGTGATTATTTAACACTGTTATTCCACCCACCAAAATGATGCATGATATATTTCTTCTGAATCAGAATTTTACCCCTTTTCAAACAGAATACCACTTTACCACTTTTCTTTAAAGCACCACATTGCTTATCCATGACATATTCCTCTGGATGACTAGGAAAGGATGGAAAGTCAGTCTTGTAAGATCAAAGAATTTGCAAATATTTGAAAAATCTTTAGTATCTACTTAAAATGTTTGCTTTAATTGTCTAAAACAAATAACAAATGTAACAAATGTCTTGTTGATGAACAGATTTGCTATTGAGTGAATCCCGTTGTATGAAGTTCCTATCTGAAAGGAATTTGTGTTTTTTTTTTTATTTTATAATCAAGTGTGTTAACACTGAGCAGTGATTCCACTTAAAATGTTTCCTAATTGGAGACCAATTTTAAGTGATTGAGACACTACCGGGTTCTGACATTTAAATTTAGCAAGATCCGAAGTATAGTATAGTAATGATCTTGAAGAATTTGGGAAGAAAGCCTGATTTTCCTTTCGTTCCCAGTCAGTTTTAAGGCTTCCACCCCAAAAGCACATGCACATAAATTTGAAATGCTGAAACTGTTTGAGATAGCAAAGGTAGAAGAAGCCAACAAATTGGCCAACAAAGAAGAAGGGAGAACGGGGAAGAAGCCAACAAATTTGAGTTTATTTTTTGGAGCCGATAGGAAATAATATACTCTTTCATATATTGTGTATCGTGACACTTTACCAGACAGTATGGTCGTTATCAGTGGCAGCGAGACTGATTGGTCTGAAATATATAGAAGCAGATCGTCCGTATACAGAGACACCTTGTGCTCTATATCCCCTCTCAAAATCCCTCTATAACTTACAGTGAAGCAAAATGATATGGCGAGAGGTTCTATAGCTAACGCGAATAACAGCGGTGATAATGGACAGTCATGTCGTGTTGAACGATAAAAAGAGAAAGAGCTCAAGCTAACATTATCTGATGCTGTTGGCCGGGTATAGAGCAACTTTACCAAAGAGAGTCGAGAAGAGAAAATCCCCTGTCGAAACATGCCCTGTCAAAGGCCTTCTTGGCGTCCATTGAGAGCAGAACGTCTAGGACTTAATTGTTGGAGCTGTGAGTGTAGATAAGATTGAACAATCTTCTAATGTTAAAGAATTGTTGTCAGTCTTTAATGAATCCAGTTTGATCTGGAGACACAACAGTTGGAAGAACCACTTCCAAATGCCTAGCTAAAATTTTTGCCAATATTTTGTTTTATATTTTGTCTACATTTAAGAGGCTGAAGGGTCTGTAAAACTCTGGCTTAGTCAGGATCTTGCCTGCTTTATGAATTAAAGAGATATTTGCATCATAAAGTAGGTGTGAGGAAACCAGTTGATAAGGCCTCATTACAGACATTTAACAGAAGTGGAGTGAGGTGAAAATTTTGTAGAACTCTGCACTATACCATTCAAGGCCAGGGCTTTTTGAGCTTTGCATACTATTAATTGCCTGTTTCATTTCTTCCTTTGAAGTAGGTTCTTCCAATAACTGTTTATTTAAACTTATGGTAGGTATTTGAAAAAAAAAAAAAAAAAAAAAAAAAAAAAAGGTCTATTATATATGGGTTGTGTTCAGATTCTGAAGAATAAAGTTTAGAATAAAAATGTTTAAATGTATTATTAATTAGTTACACTAGGATCTGTGGTAATCTGTCCTGTATCAGTTCATATTTCTATTATTAGTCTCGATGCAGCTTCTTCTTTAATTTGCTGGGTCAACAATTTGCCAGGCTTTTCCTCATATTCATAATGTTTGTGTTTAAGTTCAAGTGTCAATGTAGTTATTGTTGTATAAAGTAAATTCAATTCCATTTGTAAAGACAGGTTTTTGTTATGAAGATCAGCTGTAGGAGAGTTGGCATATACCAGGGGTCTCCTACCCCTCCTACCTGTTTCTTCCGGTGAGCTACTTTTACAAAAAAAAAAAAAAAAGCCAAAGAGCAATTACTTTACGTGGTCACAAGAAATTCAGCATAGGAAACCTGTAGATTTGGAACAGTTAGAAGTCTATAAAATATCAGCTATAGGTTGGAGACTTTTGGCATATACTCTATCAACCTCCAAACGCTCTTGGGTTATTTTTGACTCTCTCTCCCTTTGCTGGTTGTGTGAGTGGTGGGCTGGGGAAAAGAAAGAATATTTTCTTGTGTTGGGAGACTTAGCCCAAAATGGCTCATATCATTTGTATTTTCTCATAAATGTTTGAATAGCTTTAGCAGATTTTGGCACGAAGGATTCTTTTTGTGATGTATTTGTGGTCTAAAACTAGATTGAAATCTCCCCCATTTATCAAGTGATGGGAGTCCATGTTGGGTAGCGCTAAAAAAAAAAAAAAAAACATTTACAAAGTTCATATCATCAGTACTGAGAGCATAAGCATTTGCTAAAGGAACAAAATTATTATACAATTTCCCTGTAACTATAACATATTGTCCACAAGGGTCAGACACTACTTTTGAAGCTATAAAGGGGATAGATTTTCTCATTGGCGGCTCCTCTATTTTAAGCTATGAAGTTAAAGTGAAAAACATGACCTATCCATTTTTCACGTTGTCGTCTATGATCTTCATCTTAAAGGTGAGTTTCTTGTAAGAAAGCAGAATGTCCCAACCTGTGGACGCTCATCTGCCTGGGTGATCCCTTAACTGTCCTGTGATATTGTCTTATACAAGGGGCCAAATGTGGCCCAGAGCAAATTCTGTTTGCCCCAGTTTTCCTGCAGAATTGGCCCATATGATCATTACTTTACACTGTAAAGTAAAGAGAATGAGTGCAGGCTATATCTTCTCTTCTCTATCTTAGGTGATCATCTGTAAAAGCTCAAGACTTCCCACGCATAATCTGCAACGTCACTCGTGTTGAGTGTTCAGATTATTGTGCACGCATGTTCCCGTTTTAACAGATATGAAGACTCGTAAGACAAGGCCATGGCCAAGTTTGTTTGTCATTTCATCTTCGCACCAAGTGGTTTAATTTCCCCGATAGACTCACCTGAACCAGGAAGGACACTCTGCCGAGCTTCGGGTGGGTGGTTTGAAAGGACTTTACCCTGCGTCTGACTCAAAACATCTACGGCCTGGCAAGTGGTCAACATTTACTGTGTACATTTACTTGTACTCTGACGCGCTGTGATGGAGCGATGCAGCTATGCAGAGAAAGTAGCCTGGAAACCTAACCTGTAATAACCAGTAATAATCAGACGGTCTACAGATTCTGATAATCTGTTCAAGAAGCAGGAACGTGTTTGAGAATAGATCATTCACAGTTGCCACCAAATAATAAACTGCATTAGATTTCTGTGTGTTTGATTTTTTCTGTTATATTTTCTTCTGTGAAGGTTTGCTGCTCGAGGGATACATCTAGTGGTAAAGTGAAGTACACATACAAATAAGTACACATAAAAAGATTATAGAAGTCCAAATTTGCGTATAGGAGTGGTGTTATATAATAAAGCTGTACGCTTATGTGGGCAAGTCTCATTCACAAAAAGACATGTAAAAGTCTTAATTGTAGAAGGAATATTTAGACTTCAGTTTCCTCACTCTTATTTTTAGTTTATTTGAGTAATCACTGCAAGAGTACTGTACTTTGTACAAAAACAAACAAACATGTCACTTGTCCTTGCAAACGTCACTCATTTTATCCAGTCATCAGTATAAAATATGTTTTATCCTGTACCTAAAAAAAAGAGGGATGTTTATTGTAATAGCTACACGGTTTCCTAATCCTTCTCCTCTTTGTGAAGAAACTGTATGTTATTGTAAACTAAAGCTAAAAGATAATTATATGAACTTTAATAGATCAGCAGATAAATTAGCCAAGTGTATTGAGCCTATGTGTGTAACCACACATTGATTTGATTCAAAATGACTCTCGGCCCAGATTCCACTGGAGATGACAGAGAAATTCATGTCTTAAATTAAATGCTTTATCTCCAGGAGGCACACTCAATGAACTGTTCCTACATTCATTGAACAAATTGGAGTTTCAATTTTTGTTATTACTGTAAATAAAGAGATATGTGATTTATAATTGACATAGCTTATTTCCACAGTATGGGTTAATATGGGGTCAAATGTGCTGACTGCACACAATTATTTTGTCAGACACCATTTGTCAATAATGGTTAAAATACATGAGAAAACATGTCATCAAATGTTTTTTAGCTCCATTCATGACCAAACAGATTAGAGCAAGATATAGTCTAGAGTACATAATATTAAAATGTATGGCAGTATAATAAAACAATGGTCATGGTTTTACAGTCATTGCATCCAACAAACCAACATCCTATCAATGCAATCAAGACACTTTCACTAATGATGATTGTTCCATAAAGTTATTGGGTGGATCTTTGAAATCAGACTGGGAATGGTGTCTGAATTGTGATTATGAACGTAATAGACAGCAGCTCCGCCAGCCATCACAAACATAGTCAGCTTCATCAGTCTCCCAATGTAGGATACATGTGATTCTTCTTCAACCTGAATAAATAAATAATGTAAGATGTCAGAAGTTACATGGTAGTACTGCATAAGTCGATGTATTTAGTTAGTATACTGGACCTGTCTTGTCTTCAGAGCTTGGTACATGCGATCAAACTGGGTGAAGATTGTCCTGCGTGCGCCGTCCCACTTCCCCGGTCCTACAAGGCGGTACTGATAGGCAGTGACAGGACCCCATAGGACCTTCTTAAACAGGGGGTAGTCTGTGAAGAAGAGCCACAGCAGACTTGGCCTCGCTCCAATCTCCCCAGCGAGCTCGTCCATGTAGGTGACGAAATCCACCTGCAGCGGGGTTAGCTTGGACACTATGTAACTGTGGAGAAAATTAAATAAAACATCTAATTAAAGGAGTTGGGTCTGATTTCTCTGTGCAGATGTGTCAGTGGTCTAGTTGTTGCTTCATCCAGTTTAAAAAAACACATCTTACGCTAATTTAAATACAGTGGGCCCTATCTTACCCTCGATCTTAACGTTGAGGAGGCATGTCCAGGTCAGGCTGTACTTTGCTGCTGGGGGCTGCAGTGTGATGGTACAAGTACATAAATGGTGATGGCATCTGAACCAATATGTGACTGTGGTAGCATTTAAACGCACTGCCAGTGTGGGTAATGTCTGCAATGTTTACCTCATTTCCAAGTAGCAAAGAGGGGTGTGAGGAAAAGTTATATATATTTGTAAACCTTGTTTTTAAAAGTGCTTTATAAATAAAGAATTAATATTATTATATACAGTAAATGTTTCTGATATTAACACACAGGGAGGGTGACTGTACGACCTGCATTTGCCCTGCACAAATGACTGATATGTGCCATGAGTGCAGTGACTGAGTAACTTTTGTACAGTTCCAGATCAAACCAAACTATAGAGCAGTGCTAAGCTAATACAAGAAACGGGCGAGGGGATGTGGGTACAATAAAACAGCTCCGGAGCTCCACAATGCAAGTACGCACCAGTATATAGAATTTTAGATGGGCTGTGACAGAACACACACACGCCAACCTTTTTAGTTTTCTCTGCATCCTTTCGTTTGCCTCCCATTATGCAGCAGACAGGTGTCTATCTCATGCGCTCCCCATTCCACAGCAGGCCCGCTGACCGCTGCTCTCCCCCTGGTCACACCCGCTCTCGCCTGTCCTGGCAGTCTGCTACCTGGACCCACCTGAGGTATGAGTTAACACTGCTGCTACCCGTGACCGCTCATTCTTCTCTCATGGGTGTCCACTGCATTTGGTCCCACACAGGTGGATGTCTCGCGGATTATGGAATACATTTATTATCACTGGGTTTAACAGACATCAACACATTACCCCATTTTAGCTTCCCTTCATTGGCTGCCTGTGTGTTTTTGAATTGATTTTAAGATTTTTAAGATTTCTTTTAAAGCTTGTTTAGGTCTTACACCAAGTTACAGTTCAGAACTTTTAACCTCGCTCGAGCCCTCCCGCAGCCTTAGATCCTCAGGCTTGTCCCTGTGGCTGTTCCAAAGTCCAGGCTCCGGAGCCTTTTGTGATCGAGCCTTTTCAGTTCGGGTGCCTCGGCTTTGGAATGACCTTCCTGAGGCTTGTACCGTCAGTATCGGCTTTTAAATCACTTCTTAATACCCATTTTTATCAATTAGCCTTCCTTTAACTTGTTTTAGCTTGATTTTATTCCTTATTTCTTTTTATTCAATTTCTTTTTATTTATTTATTAAAATTAATTGGATTGTTTGCACCATTGTCTGTTTTTGCTTTCTGTATGCTATTTTTATGCTTTTTGTATCGTTTATTGCTGCTTGTACAGCACTTTGTAAACCTTGTTTTTAAAAGTGCTTTATAAATAAAGGTTTAATATTATTATATACAGTAAATGTTTCTGATATTAACACACAGGGAGGGTGACTGCACGACCTGCATTTGCCCTGCACAAATGACTGATATGTGCCATGAGTGCACAGAGTGGGATTTGCAGTAGATGCACATAGCAGTGCTGATGTTTACTATACATCGCTTGAGACGCTGTACCAAGCTCTACTGACCACTGCTGCCAAAAGGGCAGCAGGTACAAGACTTGCACCTGCTCCGCTGTCAAAGTCCCGAGCTGTCAGTGAATCCCTATCAGAGTCCGGTGTTGACTCCGTGCACAGTTTTCTGTGGTTTTGATGGTAGTCTACCTACTGGAAACTAACTTTATAAAATAACTAAAGCAGCACAATGGGAATAATTTGGTCACAAAATTAAATGGAGCTGATGACAGAAAGGGCACAAGGATGTGAGGAAATCCAATTAGGACCACAGACAGAATAAAAAACACACATTTTAAGACATCGTTGTAAACTACCTCATGTGACTGAGTAACTTTTGTACAGTTCCAGATCAAACCAATCTATTGAGCAGTGCTAAACTGATACAGGAAACGGGCGAGGGGATGTGCTCTGATGCGGGAGGGCATCCGTACAGCGCACAAATATTATCATCCTAATACAAGGGTCTCAGACTCGCGGCCCGGGGGCCAACTGCGGCCCTCGGAAGGATTTTTTGCGGCCCGCCACTTAATTCCAAAGAATAATGTCAGTGCGGCCAGTGGTAGATGTACGCACAATCCCACCCACCTACCGCGGGCCGCACTGACAGATGAAGCTGCAATCGGTGCCCATGCAGATTCAAAACAACAGATTATTAACGCAGTTTACATCCCAAAACTCTATTTACAGCAGTTGTGAAGCAAGGAGTCTAAGTGGATCTGTTAATACCAGTACATGTGCACAGACGGCGTCACCGAAGAACCAAAACAAACCACACATGGTGGTACACGTGTGCGCACTTCACTTCACGCTCCCACAACCACAGCATCAGAGCGCAGAGGAGACGCTGACAGAATCCCCCTGTTCATAAGTATGGGACCATTATTGGAGGGGCTAATAAGAAATAAAAAAAACTTTGACAATCTGTTTACCTGCTAAACACTCGGTGCGTAACTTGCTGGCAACCCGATGACCAAACTCCACCTGTGCGTCGCCGAAATCCACGCGCACTCAGCGGCACAGCTGTCCCATCAATATGCAAGCACCACAAAACTGCAGTGATCTATTCCAGAGGCTTGGCGACATGTTAGCAAAAAATACGAGGCAAAAACAAGCATCTTCCATCCATGTTTGACATATAAGAAGCAGATATACTCCAGTGTGGTCCGCTTTCACACCGGCAAACGAACCAAAACTGGTCCGATTAACGAGCCTCTGTATCCCGGTAGAACAGTGATACCTCCAGTAACCAACACTGATGTTCCCTGTTAATACCGGTCGTCCTCATCTTATCACCATGAACTCATAAAACAGCAACGTAGAACTTTGTACAAACTCACCGCATCAGCCCAGATTTCGGGTAACAGCAGCAGCCAACAGCGCTCCTCCGCGCTCAAGAACCGCGGCTGGTTCCGAGGTGGTGCAAAGCATCCGGACAGAAGCGTGAATCCAGTTTAGCTGGTGTCCGCCCTCCGCGCATTTGGTTCTTCCCGGGGAAAGCGCTTTTTACTCCCCGCTCCGCGTCATCTGAGCCCGGCCTGAACCGGAGCTGCATCTTCGGGACTCTGGTTTGGATCTAGTCCGACTGTATTTCTCACACTAGGCTAAAAGCAGGACATTTTTTAAAGGTGAACCAATTGAATGGGCGATTGCCTATTGCCATAAAATTATTTAGTTAATTAAAGCCTAAAATAACAAATGCTGGTTCCTACATGATCACGGGGAACACCGGGACCTCTGTGCAGGTCCTGAACAGAAGTACACAACCCCAACTTTGACTCACTCTGGAGCCACACGTTCGCACGTACTTGCTCTGATCTTCGTGTATTACATTCTCTGTATTGGCCATTGTTGGTAAAATAATTCGAAAATGAATCGCGGCTGCATCTAGACAACAATCTGTTACTGCGCTGGAGACGTACAGCGTGTCATTTCAGGCAAAGGAGACGCGTTTCCCCCATGATGCATTTCGAATAGTTCGTTTGGACCTGCTGTCTATGGTTTGGACCCGGGTTCGCGTTCACACCAGTGTGAAAGTGTGTTAAAGCACCTTCAAACTACAGGTCAAGGCTCACTGATAAGCATCTTCAATCTATCCTGAGGATCTCATGTGCTTCCTCCTGCAAGCCAAATATCTCTCAGCTGTGCAAGGTGAAGTGTAGCCAGGTTTCAACCAGAAAGAAGTAGGCAAAAGAAGAAGAGTAGACGTATTAGTTTAAACTTAAGTTCTAAATACATTTTCATGTTCTGAACTGTTCTTAAAGATTAAGAAAGTGTGTTGCGCGTTGTTCATTTTCTCTCTTCATTTCCCGCTTTTTATCGAATACTCAATGCGGCCCAGCCTCACTCAGACTTTATCTAATGTGGCCCCCAGGTAATTTGAGTTTGAGACCCCTGTCCTAATATATTCCAAATAAAAGAAGTCTTTAGCATGTTACATGTTGTTGTTGTTGTTTTTTTTTTTTTGGACTAATTTGATATTTATTTTTATGATTCTGGTAATTCACTGACACCCTCAGTCTGCTCCACTCCACTCCATGTTCAGGCACAGCACAGCTCATGATTAGAGCTAAGATCGGGGGCAAAAAAGGGTCCAGAATCTCTCACATGTTGCGTCCTTTTTCAGGCCATCAGTAAATCTCATTTTGGGCTTTATGTGTCCTGTGAAGCAGCTCTGTCTTATATGACAGACTGGAGTTCAGCATTCCTGCCTCAAAACAAGAAGGTCTGGGGTCAGATTCCTAAAATGTCTGTGGAAACATTGACTATAGGCTACCAGTGACCATTAACCTAGCTCAAGGTCTGGAGAAAGGTCTTCAGTCTCTGCGCACCTACTGTTCAGGTTTTCCCAGGGGCATTTATTCATTTATATTCATTCTCTGTGTGTAGCAATGCAATATCAAGTAAAGCTTACTTATTTTCAATGTCCTTAGTGTCTTTCTCTACAGCCTTTACCATTGCCGGGGTTGGAGGTAGCTTACAATGTCCTGTAAAAGCATAAGACAGTTAGATGATAGAAGATATTTATGTATTTATTAGTTGGAAGCCTACCTTTAAACACCCGTGTGACCCAACGTGCCTGCATTTCCGCCTGGGTCATGATGGCTCCCAGGGCATGGATGAATCCGACCACAGCCAAAGTCGGGTGCTCTAGTGTCGGGGGAAACACATGTTTGTACAGGCCAACGCGATGGCCAGTTCTGTACATTACTTCCTTGGGAAGAAATGGGAAGTCATAGTTGTAGCCCGTGGCAAAAACAATTACGTCAACCTGTAAAAAAGTAAAAACATTATTTACTTCTACTTCCAAGTCTTTTATTCAAAGATAGTAAACCACAGACACTTAGGTATATTGTAACTATGAAGTATGATGTTATGGTACTTGTGTTTATTAATACATAGTTTTTTTTATATTAATAGTTGATTAATTCTATTTATTTTTCTAATTTATGGTATTTCCATTATTTTGTTTTATATTACAGTTCTGACAGTGTGTACTGTCTATATTTTAGTACTTTGTTATGTGATGGCAAAGGAGAAATTCAATTTGCCAACTGGACAAACGTTTATTTAAGTCAAAAACATTTTTCAGCTCATCAAAGCTGCTTCTTCAGTTCTGGTCGGAATGCTGGTGGATACTTCCTTATATCTGCCTGCAGGGAGGAGCTAACTACACTGAAACTACTCTGAAACTAACACCCTACTTGTTTAGAGTTTTTGTTTGTTAGTTAGGCCTATTCATTTTCTCTGACTCAGATCTGTACCTCACTATCCTCAAAGAAGTGGCCTGTGGATTTCACATGGAGCTGTATGGCACACTGAGGTCCTGTGTGGCTCTCACGTCTGTGTTGGAACAACCTCTTGTGAAGTGGCTGTTTCGTTTCTCCAGTGTAGTGTTCACTGGAGTCTTCACTACACTGAATGGAGTAGACAACATTGCTGCATTTGTGGCTTGGTATTGTGTCCTTTGGGTGGACCAGTTTCTGTCTTAAAGTGTATGTAGGTTTGATAGACTGGGATTTCATGTTGTCTGAAAATCCTCTGTAGTTTTTCAGAAACACAAGACATGTAAGGAATAGTTACACCCTTTCTCCTGGGTTCTGATTCTCTTTTGCCTTGTTTTCTGGCTCTTGTTGTTCTACTGAAAGCCCATTTTAGATAACCACAAACAGAGAGGGTGTTCTGCACATGTTGTTCTTCTTTCTCCTTTCTCTCTGTGCTTCAAGGAACCACTTAGGCCATGTGTCATTTTGTGATGTTATGTGGTGCTGCAGTTTGTGTCTTTTTGTAAGTACCTTTTCAACAACAGAGCCATCTGAGAATATGACGTCAGAGCCACGGATTTCCTTGACATTTGTTTTAATAATAACTGAGCCGGACAGGATCTTGAGGGGCAGGTCATCATTTATCACAGGAACCTGACTGAACAGCCTAGTGGCAGGAGATATGGGAGCAACAGAAGGTAAAGTAAATAAAAATAGCACAAGATTATATGCACTTTGTGATTATATTTTCTACTAAGGCATCTTAAGTGGATATTTGCATTAAAAATAAAACAGTTAACTAATTATCAGTAATGTATGATAATAGTAACTACTACAAATCATTAATAGCATATTACTTATAGCATATTAAAATCTTCTCATTCAGTCCACTTACCGATGCTTGGGTTTCAGAGCGTACATGGTGTGGTCATACATGGCATTGACTTTGCCTTCTCCAATCCAGTTCAAGACACTCATAGGCAGAAGCTGGAAGAGGATGTGGACAAATCGAGTGTTGTATTTCATGTCGACCGGAACTCCATTGTCTGACACCTGGCGAATGACCCATGCCCCTCTCCGAGTGCTCATATACACCTGAGGAGAGCCAGAGAAAGGGCTGATCATTTCCCCATAAAATGAGTTGTTTTGATTAAGGATACACGACCTAACCTGCTTTGCAAATCTGCTGGACTCTACTGCTATGTCTCCTCCAGAGTTTCCGATGCCAATCACCACCACTCTCTTCCCCTCCATTCCTTCAGGTCCTTTGTAGTCCCAGCTGTGGAAGTACTTTCCCTCAAATGTCTCAATTCCTGTTTGCAAAGAGAAGAGTCTTTTTTTTTTATTAATTAAAGTAATTCAGTGTTTGCCAACACATTTCTGGACTATGGTGGTATGGAAAAATATATTTAGATTTTTGGTGTAAAAATATCATTTAAAAAAATCATACCTGAAAAGGCTTATATTAATTAGTAGAGAGTTATTATGTTTCACTAATACAGATCTATTTATATAATTTAATTGTGAGTCTGTATGCAGCCACTGCAAGCATTACCTGGGAAGTCTTTTAATGGGAGATTGGGATAAGTGTAGTGACCAGAGCAACAAATTACTGCATCAAAAACATGCGTCTCCTCTTGTCCATCTTTGGTCTCTGTGACAACTTCCCATTGTCCAGTTCTGGTGTAGTCAGGTCTCTGTTTTACGCTTTTCACAGAGGTCTATAATTTATAAAAAGACATCATTATAAGATGCAACATTATTGGCTTTTTTGTTTATTACTTGTGTCAAATGTCAACCTCACCTGGAATCGAACATATTTGAGTAGTTTAAAATGTTCAGCGTACATCCTGAAATAATTAAGGATCTTTGAGTGGTGCATGTAGTTTGGGTAGTCAGCAGGAATAGGGAAGTCACTATAGCACATCATTTCTTTGGAAATATTAATAGTAAGAGAGCGGTAGATACTGGCCCTGTTCGGCTCTGAAACTTCCTGTAGACAAACATAATAAACAACATCATCCCAATGCACACTGGAAAGGACCACGTCACAACATTGCTCACTTGCCTTGAATTTCCAGAGTCCACCCATGTCGTCACTGCTCTCGAAGCAGGTGGGCTGCAGACCTTCATCAAGACACTGCTTCACACTGACCAGACCAGAGGGACCGGCCCCAATCACTGCCACGCGCTGCACCATCTTGAACTGTAATAATAATAATGGAATAATAATGATAAAATAGCACTTTTCCAGGAGCTCAAAGTCACATGACAATTTTGTGCATTATTCATTCACTCCAACTCAGTGACGGTAACATATTATTGTTGCCACCACCAACAACACTCGGGCACACACCATTTTCATACAAGGCAATGTGGGTGAGAAGTTGTGTTTAAGGACAAAACAGCGAGAAACTAAAATTCTGTAAAATCTTCAAAATCAAAACTCAGTTCATTTCAAGTCTTAAAAAAACTCCAAATATTCACTACTTTTACTGTTTACTCATTAAGTAACATTTTTACTTTACCTTTATGAAGTTTTTTTTTTACTACTTTACTAAGTCTTTTCTGCTTAGGTATCTGTACTTTTACTTAAATAGGCTAACAAAATTGACTATTTCTTCCACCACTGTTCCGATCTGAGTGGTAAGAGGATAAACTGCTCTTTGTGTGCACTCCCGGTGACTCTGAGAAAGTCAGATCAATGAAGCAACGAAATCAGTAGAAATGTGCTCAAAGTGAGATGTTTTTTATGATCTGACTAAATGAGACAGGAGCCACACAGCACACGGACAATAGTTTGATTTGGGCCATAGAACTTTTCTGTTCATTCTGTACACGCCTTAGTCTCAGATTAACAGATTACAAACAGCTCAAGTCATCTGTATTAATCTGTATTCAGAGAGACAAGAACACAGAAGGGGAGTGCTGTGCTGAAAATTTTAATTAAAGTTTCTTTTTTACATTCATTGACATTTACATGTCAGCAGAGAATAACTATTATGAGTATTGCAACCTCTAGAAGTAAATAGTCAACATGTGTCTTACCTTGTTCTTTGACCTTGAGTCTTCACCGGGAGGGCTGGAGCTGTACAGGTTTTTATACCTGCAACTTCTAACCTAGACCAAAAGGGGTGTATGAAAGTAACCCCATCTATGAGCTCCACCCCATGTGACTAGAAGCCAGACCAAGTGGATGTATGAGGAAGTCTCCAACAGGAGTTTATGTATTCAGGTCAGGTGTAGTTGCCTCTGCTTCAGTTTATATGTTACTATTGTTTATCCAGGGAAGATCTTGGGTTAATTTCCACGAGAAGAAAGTCCATCAGTACACAAACAAGCTCATATCTTGAAGCATTTGCGTCAGCAAAACATAAAACACCATCTACCCCAAGAAACATTTGGCAAAAATTCACTGCAGCGTCACTCAGAGAACAACAACCACAACAGGGGAGATCAAACCCTGTAATTATCAAAATGAGTTGACAGAGCCATGTTAGGTTGAAGTCATTCACCATTTAATGAAAAAACAGCATTTCGGCATAACTCTTATTGAGATGAGTATTTAAGAGTTTCTACCACTGTTGTAATGAATACAACACAGTGCAGCCACAGTGCATTAACACAATACATTTTACATTGACAGCAGGCAATAAAGGTTTGGTGTTAAATAATAATGACAAAATAGGAATGTGCAAATGTGTTCATTTGAAAGACTAGAAAAACATTTTGGTCCAGCATGTTGTTGTTTTTTTTTTTTGTTTTTTTTGCAGCTACTCCCTTTTGTTCTGCTCAGGTCATGGCTCCACTAGGTTCAATAGCCAAAAATTGGCCTGGACACCAGGCTGTTACTAGTTAAAGCTGGTTAATTTGTAGACAAATGGTGCAAACTATACCAATATTATAACAAAAGCCAAATTGATGCAGCTCTAAAACGTTAGATCTGTGAAATCTGAAACCTCGCAACAATCTGGTTGTTGGGGTTGTTGTTTAAAGTAATATGGGGAACGCAATTCAACGGCAGTATGGCAGTGATAAACTATTGATGTGTCATGGCAATTAAAAATAGACGATCAATCCAAGTCAAAAAGTTTCTTAAGCTCCAACTTTACTTTCACCTTTACCCAGATTTCTTGGACGTCACATTGGTTTGGCATTGCGTTTGATGTTTAATCTGTATTGCTTACTCTCTTATGTCCTGGTGCAAGAGACAGTTAAGCCAATCACTATTCAACTGAAACACTTACTCTGGACAGTGACAAAGCCACAATAATAAGGACAAAGTGAACTGAGAATCAAGTGGCCAAATTCAGACCTGACCCAAACAAATGTGAATTCATCTGAAGAAATGAAAGTCTAAGTAATATCCTTCTTATCTTTAAATGCCTCATTTTCATTTGCATCAGCTTTTGTTTCCTGTTAGGCACTAGATTTTGCACTACACTTTGCACCAGGGATTTACTGATCCAATACTGGGACTGGATATTGGCACAGATACTAGAAAATTTGCTGCACTGGGTAGCAGCATCTAAATATCCAGTATCCTGGTTGAACATATGAATTGACTGAATTTACTGGTTTTACACAGAGTTAATCAGTAGTTGGTTTACACATGCACAAATTCAACAACTCAGCAGAAGAAAAAAGTTTTGGGCTTAATTGTAACTTGCTTACAGTTCATCTATTAACTTGGAATTATCTGAAAAAATTTAACCACACTGACCAGTCCCGTGGTGCTGTCTGCTTTGCTGTTTTGTATTTAAAAACAAAATAAAATTCATCCATTAAGAATGTAAAAAAAATCCATAAACATATGCACCAAGAGAAGTATCGATGTAACAGTATGTGGACAACATACAGTATTTTATACAAGGCACCCCCTTCTCTTACCACATATAAAGCAAAACAGCACCTATGATTGACACCAAACTGTTAACTTCCACTGTAGCCGTTTCAAATATCCACTGAACAATGAGGCTGATCCACCCACAGTTAAATCGTGCTTTACCTCTACATAACATACTTTGCAAATGAAATCCATATCAAATATGTATCACAACTAAATTTAGCATTCTTACTTGGCAATTATTTAAGGAGTTATTGCAGAATGTACAGAGAAAATAAATCTACTTAGTGAACTTAATAAACATAATTTACTTAAGAGAAAGAGCTTGTCATAAAAAAAACAAACAGCGTATCCAAATTGTACCGTTAAATTTTCCAGCGGTGTAATGTGTGACCTACTTTATTTGCTTTATATTTGCCATTCTAATGTTCAGGTAATAAGCCTATGCCATCACCTGAGCTGCTTCCATCATTTAAAGCAGATGAGATATAACGAAATGACTGGCACTCAAATCATGTTAGGAGCAGCTGAAGCCGGGAACACCTCTCACAACTGGAATAATTGATCCACAACAAAGGCTGATAGAAGACTAAAATAACTGTTGTATAGATTAGACAACATAATGTGTGTTGCCATCTACCAGGGTTTTGATGACATTTACTCTACTACAAACATGTTCTGAAATACATGGGATTTGTGTATTGTTTGTATCACATTTCAGTCTTCTCTAAAATGGGTATGGTCCTGTGCTTGCATTGCACTGTGAACCGAATCTTGATTTTTAAAGCACAGATCACGAATGGTCTAATTGTAATCCACGTCTGTCGCACTCACAGTCACTATTTATTTTCCTCTAACTGTTCAACATCAAGATTGGATACTTGGAGCTTCATCTAGTGATCTTGCTAATAACAACATGTGACCGATGATGGATGATTTAATGTCTGTTCATTAAAATTTGATATAATGAAAAATAGCATCAGAATGTAAGAGAATCATAGCAGTTATTGTTAAACATACCAGTTGTAAAAATTCACAGTTTGTACTTATAGTTATACAAATATTAAAATTATAGGAATGTTACTGCTGTGTACTATGGTCATTTAAAAAGTATAAAAGTATGTGGATTGTAAAAAATATAAGATGTTGAATCCTTGAAGCCCTCCATTTCTAACATTTCGCACTGTTTAGGTTTGGACCAATCCTGGAGCATACTCTCCAAAGGGTTAAGTGCAGTATGTAGGATACTGTAGGATATAAAAAATATTATTTTGTAGCATGCATCAATGTTCACGCTGCACTAGGGGTGGCCGATATGGCAAAGCAATTTTCTAAAAGCCTGGGTCACAATTAGAATCATGATTCTCATCCACTCAGCATCTTAATTTTGTCTTAAGAGGTCATTAATGCTGATAGCTTCTCCCTAGAGCTTTCGCCTCACTGTGAAATCTACCACAGGGTCAAATCACAATTAAATTTTATAATGGTCATATCGCTCACCCCCAAGTCACCATGCTCTTCTGTTTATCTTACGTCTTTACTGTTACAATCAATATTTAACCAATTTAATATTTCTGAATGATTATGCTTTCCCTCAGTGCTAAATAATGTCAAACTACATAACCCAGCAGCCCTTGCAGTGTCTGTGGTGAGATCCACAACATCTCTATCAGGTTGTATTGGCAGTATCCCATCCAGAACCCAAACATCACATCAGTCACATTATGCCTCCCTAGCATCACCCTGCTTAGACCCACTGTCCCAACCCAGAGCTGAACCAAGACCCTCAGAGGGGCGGCCAAAACCAGGTGGGCCAACACGAACCGGCCACACATCGCAGCTCGAGTGGCATGGCCCGAAGGAAACGAATATCGATCCACGGAAAATGTAGCAAACATGTCCATTCGGTTATGAGAGGGACGACGCCGACGCACAAGGGCCTTAACAATACCCACCAAAATCAAGTCCAACAGTAAGCCTACAGAAAAACAAGAGTGGAAAGAAGAAAAACAGGTCACAATTGCAGTTCCAACACAATAAACTCAATCAATCAATAAAAAGGCAGTTTTGTTTGTGCTTTTGAAAACTAGGTCAAACGAGGAACACAACCTGGTGATGGTTTTAATAATAATAATTTATGTCAATTGAAATAGTTATAAAATAGGATTCCTCTTAAATCTATGGTTTGGAAAGTGGGTCAAATGATTGAGGCAACCAGTTGTCACATTAAAGGGACAGAGAAAAGCTCATGTGAGGCCAGAAATGTGTGTCTGCAGTGTACTGATTATTTTTGTAGCACTGTGAATCTTGAATAAGACTTCTAGGCAGGTAAATTTTTACTCATAAGAAAATTATCAAATTCAGTAAGATTGTTCTGAAGTGAGGCATGTGTGAGCTTAAATACCATCGGGGTACTTTTGCATATTGTCTTTAACCCTCTCAGGCTCAAATTAATTTTTAGTATCAGGAAAAATCTGATATTTGGGGAAAATTATAATATTGGGTAGTAATATACAATCCTGACTTTTTTATCCTTTGTAAAAAAAAAAAAGTATTTTGCACTTCTGGCAGGCCGTTTGCGTGTAGCCATTCTTGCACAGTCTGCATCGCCCACGTTTATCAGCACGGATGGGAGAAAAGGCTCCTGAGTTAAAAAAGCTCATAAAATATGGATGCGGAGTAAGTAGGTAATTGGCATTTAGCTGTTGCAAATCTGCAACGCCTGCCTGGAGAGGGTTAAGTGCACTGCTGATACCAATCAGCTACAACAAGGGCCTTCTAATACACCATTGGGTTTTTATGTGACTGAAGAGCGCCCTCTACAGGCATAGATTTGAAATAATCTACTTATCAATAAAGATATGGGGTTGGGTGGGTATAAGGCTAACCTTAATTATAAACATGTGCATGGGAGAAACAAATCAAGTCTGGCAGTAGGCACAAATTCCCCACCTATAAAGAGGTTGAGCATCACTTCTTGTCCCGCAGCACTGTCGCTCTTGTACATGCAGTACGCGGTACCAGCCAGCCACGGGATGCCATGTCCGGATATCTCTATCAGTTTCATCAAGGGACGGACGCTGCCCCAGGACGAGTCCTCACAGGCGCACACCCCGAGCCGCTTGGACATCCACAGGTCGATGGCCAAAAGCGAGCTGAGCGCTACCCGGATGAATGACGGGTTAAGCCGTATACCGTCCTCCTCAGGCCCCTGGCCGCTGGCGGAGCCGGTAGAGGAGCTTGAGCCTCGGCGCCGTGTGGGGCTCTCCGAGGCCCGCAGCCGGGCAGTGGTTGGGTCCGAACCCTGCCGCTGAAGCAGAGACTTGTTCAGAGATGCGAACTCAAAGCGATCATTCGAGCTGCCGACAACCGGGCTGCCTCCACTGCGACCTGGGTTTTTAGTTTTGGGAGACGGCATGATAAAAGTTACAATGACACTAAAGTCTCTTACTTGAAATTACAATGGCTTTCTGATGGCCCTCTCTATGATGTTATGCGGACCGCTGTTTCTGTATTTATCTCTTGAACGTTTGACAATTCGCTTCACGTCTAGATGTGCCGTAGTGAAACGCCATCTTTGTTTTTTTTAGTCGCAAAGGAGCACGGGACATTGAGTTTTTTTCAACATAGACAAAATAATGAAGTGTTGTATTTTATTGTTAGTAGGTATGCATTCTTAATGGTGTTGTTTAGCGATATAACATGGCATTTAGTAATAATTTTTAAAAATCGACACAAACTATTTTTTTTTCTGAGTGGTCGTTAGAGCGCAACACCCCTGGCTTAGTCCCGCCTCTTTCCGGGGTCCATGTGGTGGTTCCTCTGTCAAGCTTTTCTTGGGAATCTGTGTGTTGCTGGGTCTACAAGCATCGAACTAGTGGATCAAACATGCCTGGAATTTTGCTCGGAGATGTGTTTCCTAACTTTGAAGCCGAGACCACCATCGGCAATATCAAGTTCCACGACTTTCTCGGTGACTCGTAAGTACAATATTTCACTGAAATATTGCCCTACTGTCTAATTGTTTTAGATTTGGTAAAATGTACAAACTTTCATATTTGCATTCATCATTGACACATACTGTAGGCTGCTATATTGTACGCAAGTTGCGTGATTTGTTCTAGATTCTCATTGCATTTGACTTCCACCTGCTGTTTTCATGCAATTAGGTTACACAAGCATGACTGGGAACTTATTTAACTGTCATAGGAGGCTAGTAAAACGCCCATATCAAATATTGCCTCTAAATCCGTTAAAGATTAATTAAACTATTGCATAACAAGGCCTACTTTTAAAAACCCTTCACGCAGTACTCGATGCTGTTGCACATTTAACATTGCATTGCCGATCAGAATAATATTCTCCGTTAAAATTTTCAGCAGTTATTTAAAAGAGGAACTTATTCATGTAACGTTATAAGCCAATAAATTACATCACTCTCCCATATGTTAGCCTATTTCAGTGGTCATTGGTCATCCCTGAATGGATTCTCGCCAGCTATTGCATAATTTCCTTCTTCTGTTGAGAATAAAAGGTTAATTGTTTTCTGCAGAATGGATCACAGTTTTTGGTAGGCATTTGCATGCAATACAAATTTGATGCAAACTATGTGAAAATTAACTGAATAGTAACCTTTTAAACATTCCTCAAACTTCCACATTTGTTATGCCCCAAAACTTTGCTGTAGCCGTTCTGTTCTACACCTCAAGAGAGTCAGGCCTTAGTCAGATGACTACTTTGGCACAACGATTAGAGGCTTTTCTATTCACACTGAACACTATTTATTCACATAGACCAGCAACACTTAATATTGGTACACAACAGCACTTCGTCCCCAAAAGAACACAGCTGGGTTTGGAATCTTAGCTTTGCCAAGTAGACAGCTGTTATTTTACTACAAGACAGGATTCATTTTTCTTCCAGTAAGTTTAACAAAGAAAAGAAGTTGCAATTAGTGTACTTAAGCAGCTTTTTCCTGAAAGGTTTATAATAACATGTCAATAATAATATTAATTGTTTAGGTGGGGCATCCTATTCTCCCACCCGAGGGACTTCACTCCTGTGTGCACCACAGAGCTGGCCTGTGCTGCCAAAGTCTCTGATGAGTTTAAGAAACGTGGGGTCAAGATGATCGCCCTTTCTCTGGACTCTGTGGAAGACCATCACAACTGGAGCAAGGTTTGGAGAGAAAATACTTTAATTTACATTAATGTACATTATCACTACACAAATACTTAACATTGGTGTGAACTCTAGATCACAATGAATGTAATCTGAGAAGTGAAAGGAAAGAGATAGGCCAGGTCAAGTATTCACAGGAGAATCTCTACAAAATTCACTACATGTTCTTTACTGCTCTATGCTAGTCCACTACTTTATGGATAGAACTTTTTGTCCTAAACACAAATGATTGGCCAGGCTGCTCTTACACTCCCACGGTCAAAGATGACATTGGGCTTCAGCAGCTGCACTCCCTGTAACCTCCCTGTTAGATAATATAGAGAAACCACTGTTTTCAAAAATCTCGGAATACTTGGCAAAATTCAGTATAAAAGTGAATCCTTGAAACATTGGTACTCCAGGGTCAATTCAGGTCTTACTGACAAGCATTTTTTATTTGTTTTTATTGTTCTGGATTAGGTTTATCTTTGGTTGTGCTTTGTACCAATTTAAGTCAGCCGTGATTTTGTTGTATTGTCAATACAATTTTTCAATTTATACCGGTTTCATCACAGTTTTGGCTTGGTTCTTCAAAGCCTACATTTTCTTTTCTGTTACTTACTATAGTTATATGTTATGTTAGGGTAGTGACCCCTAAAGTTAAAAGGTGAAAAGGAAAGAAAAACAAATGTGACGGTGTATTCACTGTTCTTGTTCTTCTTCAAAGGATGTGATGGCCTTTGGCAATGCAGCAGGTAGCCCTCTGCCTTTCCCAATCATCGCTGACAAGAAGAGAGAGCTGTCTGTGCAGCTGGGAATGTTGGATCCAGATGAGATGGACAAGGATGGCATGCCGCTGACCGCTCGCTGTGTAGGCTAATGATATTTTACTACCAAGCCTTTGAAAATGCACTCCCTACAAGCACAAGATTAGAGCCCAACCGATATATCGGTTGGCCGATATAATCGGCTGATATGGGCACATATTCAGCCGATATGTGTGCTGATATGGGCAGATATTTCACGTAGGCATGTTATACCTATTATAAATTTTAGACTCTCTACATTATGTTCATATAATCCTATTTACAGACAGATAAATGTCCTAATATGTGGTTCCACATCAGTATTTATCTGCTGAGTCATTTGTCTGTGTGTGTGGCCGTACTGTCCCTGAACACACGTCACTCACGTCAGGTCACTCGCGTCAGGTCACTCGCGTCAGGTCACTCGCGTCAGGTCACTCGCGTCAGGTCACTCGCGTCAGGTCACTCACGTCAGGTCACTCACGTCAGGTCACTCACGTCAGGTCACTCACCCCCGCAGATATAGATCCACGTGCAACACTTAGATTATATTCTTTTTACGGACAATCGGTTTGAGTCAGGATTAAAAGGACATTTATTAGTGCAGACTTGTGACGTGAGGAGGAGCCTGTGTGAGCGGTGAGTGTTGGAAATATGTTGACTTTGAAGCTAGTTTTGGTTAGCGATTAGCTGCTGTAGCTCCCACACATAAACAGGCTGTTTTCTATTGGCCTATTGTAAAGTGACTATATTGGCCGTATATTTGTTACTGGACCTGCATTGATATGTAAATGAGCTGTGAATAGAGGTGTGAATGATGACATTTGCACATATAATTAATTACCGCGGCGCGCACATATTTATGGCTAAAGGCTAATAGCGGTAGTTTCTTGACTAGCTAGTAGTGATGTGTCGGTCGCGAACGAAGCGGCTCTTAGAGCCAGCTCTTTGAAGTGAACGACGGGAGCCTGCTCCTTATTGGGAGTCGTGTTTTCTCTTTCTCTCACTTTTTTTTCTCTTCACGTTGCATGTAGACTCGTGGTAGTTTGACTGCGGCAGCAGCTCAAAACAAAACTTTCAGAAATATGTGTGTGCATAGGATAGAAAAATGTGCATGTTTGGCTGTAGTACAACATAAAATGAATAAACCAGGACTAATCTTGGGCTCGAGAGAGATAGAGACCAAGTCCCGACACTCAGTCCTGGTTCAGTTCTGGTTTAGTCTTGCTTTAGACTTGGTTCAGTTCTGGTTTAGTCCTGCTTTAGTCCTGCTTTAGTCCTGCTTTAGTCCTGCTTTAGTCCTGCTTTAGTCCTGCTTTAGTCCTGCTTTAGACCTGCTTTAGACTTGCTTTAGTCCTGATTTAGTCTTGCTTGCAACAAAACAATCTGAAGAGCTGCTTGGGAGCCGAAAAAGCCAGCTGCTTTTAGTGAGCCGAGCCAAAAGAGCCGGTTCTCTAAAAAGAACTGGAATACCCATAACTAGTAGCTAGAATGTGATGCAAAAATGCCATTAGTCCAACCTACTGTCTGTAAATATGATGTAAAGAGGCAGAATAACAATAAATGTTGCCTAAATAAACCCAATTTAAAATCAACTAGAGCCAAACCTAAGTTAGTTTTTTTTTTTAATTCAAGATTTACAGTGAATTTTTACATTACTAAATATATCGGTGATTATATCGGCTATCGGCAGCTCCAACTCCCATTTTATCGATTTCATATCGGCCACAACAAAACCCATATCGGTCGGGCCCTACACAAGATCTGAAAAGTTTGCCTTTACTATGATCAAATCTTTATGAAAATGGTAAATTTAATAGTTATTTTCTTGATGGCGAAACAGCCCAAATAGTAAACTGGATTAAAGATGTATAAATACAGCTTTAACACAGTCCATTCCTTCCAGGTTTTTATCATTGGTCCTGATAAGAAACTGAAGCTGTCCATCCTGTACCCGGCCACCACAGGGAGGAACTTTAATGAGATTCTGCGAGTGATCGACTCCCTGCAACTCACAGCACAGAAGAAGGTTGCCACACCTGTTGACTGGAAGGTATAGTTAAACATTAAGGAAACACTTCAGATAATATAGACAAGTTAATTGTTTTATTGTTAATGACAGCAGTCTTTTATAAACTCAAAAATATGACACACAGTAATTTCAGTAATTCAGTCATTTTGATATTTTTGGCAGACTAAATTAACTTCTTTCAAATATTGTAGAAAGTATTGAGGGGGTGAAATAACAGTATTTAGTGTTTCATAAAATCAAATGTTTCAAATGTTTTAAATCACTTAAAAACACAACTCAGTTGACCAAAGTACAGTACACAACAATAATTATAAAAGGCAATAAAATAGACACAAATAAAATAATGAAACAAGTCATAGCATGATTACAGACATCCCATCAAATCCAGCTATATACTCCACGTGAGACACATAAAAGTCCTGCTGGCATATTGTATGATTGTTGTAAACCATAAACTAACATAGGCCTTTACATTTCAGCCTGGTGATAAAGTTATGGTCATTCCCACTCTCTCTGATGCTGAGGCTGAAGCCCTCTTCCCCAAAGGTGTGGCTACAAAGGTGTTACCTTCTGGGAAGAATTATCTGCGATACACACAAATCTGAAAGAAAGGAAAAACTCTTTCAAGAACCATGACATTCACTGTTTTAATGTGAAGAAATAATTTACACTAAATTAATCTTAAAGGGATTTCTGCAAAGATTGTCATCATTATCAGTGCCTTTGTCTTCCCAAATAAAGACAGTATCACTTGAGTTTTAATTTTGAAAGTTTTTTTTTTTATCTTATAGACTGAAACAGTCCAGTTTGAAAGTTTGTAACTATTTAAATTCACCACTAGATGGCTTTGTAATGCTGTTTATGCAGACAATTATTTCGCTACTGGTTACGTAAGACCACTTTTTGCCACTAGAGAGCGCAACATTCACACAGTATACATATCTTTGGTTTAGTGACTTGACTGATGTCTAGGTTGGCAGGAAGAACACGCATGCCTCTTTTGTTCTTAGTCTATGACAGTGGTAGAAACATGGTAGAACTTGTAGAAATTGTCAATGACATAAAACTTAGCAAATATGTAAAATTATCACATTCTTAAATTCATTAAAATTAGCAAATATGACCTTAAACTCCCAACAATATTGTTCTAAACGTATGAATAATACATCATAACCTACTTACTAACCAGAACTTTGATAATTTGTCATAGATGTCATGTTTAGGTTAAAAGATTTGTATATATACATATATTGGGTGAAACATGGTTGTTAAAATACATTATTTGGTCTCGCCTCACCTGTCGACAGTGCAGAGGTGTTACATTGCTGTTGGAGTTATTCAATCCTCAGAGCTGCATATCTGAGCACAGTATTGGTTACACTGAGCACTGATCTCTCACTGTGGCCTTGTATTCACACAGGAATGCTGAGGTCAAACACAAGAGATGGGAATCCCTTTGAGTGTGTGAAGAAGTATGGAGATGCATGAACTCAGTCATAACTTTTATGCATTTATACTTTTCAGTGCAATGTAATTTTAGACAGAAGGAAGAATCATCAAAAGTAAAAGTAACGCACAAGATGAGTCAGTTACTATTAATGTTGGTACTACTGCTGTTCTACCAGACTGTTTATTGTAGCTAAAATATTATAATTATTATGAATACAAATACATTGGTCTATAAAATATACAACCCAATGGGGCTTCAGAGATACATTTGAACACATTTAGAGATTTGGTATGTTGGATGTGAAACACACAAAACTTTTGTAAAAGTATGTCACAATATGAACTGCTTGAACCTGTCACCCCCTTTCTGAAAAGCTCATAGTGCTACTACTTCATGTTTATATATTTTACTTCTTTATTAGATTTGTCCATGTAAAGTGCAATCCTTGTTCTTGGAGACAGTACCTTCTTTCTTGATCCAAACAAGCTGAAATCTGGCTTCTCTTCAAATATGGGATGAAAGTGATATATTCAGTGAGTTGCTCTTTGCCTCCCTCCCTGCCTCTCTCTCTGTCCCTCTATTTCTCTCTTTCTTGCTCTCTCTGCATCTTTTTCTTCCTCTGTCTCTCTTGCTCTCTCTGTCTGTGTCAGTCTCTCTCTCTCTGTTTGTGCCATTCTCTTTCTTTCTTTGTCTCTCGCTCTCTGTGTGTCTCTCTCCCTCTCTCTGCCTCCCTCCCCCTCTCTTTCTTTCTGCCTCTGTCAATTTCTTCTCTCTCTGTCCCTCTCTCTCATTTGTTGCTCTCTTTCTCTCTGTGTCACTCTTTCTCCGTCCCTCTCTCGTCTGTTGCTCTCTCTCTTTGTCTCTCTCTCTCCCTCTCTCTGTCTTTATCTTTCTTTCTCAGAATACACTTTTTCTCAACCCATTTTTCACTCTCTCTCATTTTCTCTCACCCTTCTCTTGTGCCTTTTTTGTCCTCAGGAGTTGTCCAAAATAATAAGACGTAGACAGAGAATCCTGATCAAATGCATTTCTCAGATTCCACACCACAATGGGCCGTGCCACAGCTAGCATGAGACGCGCTTTGGGTGTCAGGCTCTGGCTTAATTGTGCTTTACCAACCATCCCCTCCCGCTCATCTGTCACCCATGGGTGCGTGGTTATCTGGCCCGTCCTGTCACCCTTGCCTCGCCAACTCTTCAGCGGTAATACAACCCGGGGCCAGCCCAGGTCTCACAGGGAACAACACACAGCATTATAACAGCAGCTGGTTATGACAAACACAAACACACTGCAAACGGCCTATGCAACTGATAAATTGATATATATTTTAAAATCAAAGCACTAATTTAAGTTATGTATTACATTTATTACATTTGATTTGAGTAGAAAGCACTTTAAAATCACTGTATCATGTTTATCAATCCCACTGTTTCCAAGTGTAGAGATAGTTTTAATGTATTAATATGAATGCCTAGCAGAGGTGGGACCAAGTTGTTGTTTTGCAAGTTTCAAGTAGGTTTCAAGTCTTTGACCTCAAGTCTGAGTCAAGTCCCAAGTCAAAAACAGGCAAGTCCAAGTCTCTGGCCCATAAGTACAAGTCAAGTCCAAGTTGTCTGCTTTGAGCTTCAAGTCAATTCAAGTCTATAAATAAAGAACCAAATATAGCTTAGATTTTTGCAATTTATATGAATTTTAAGATAAATTGTACTTAAAAAGTCATAGTATATTTATATATGAATATTTATATAAGAGTTGTAGAAATGCAAATTTTACCTTTTTAAATGTCTGAGTGTGAATCATTACGGTCAGAACAGAAAGAATTCAGATTTAAAAGTGCTAATTAACAGTTATTTTGTCATGAATGATCATGACAAAATAACTGTTAATTCTATGTAGTTTCCTCTGTTTTACTTTACTGTACTGTATATTACTGTATAATATTGAATATTACTGTAGTACATTTGAGGGTACCATCTCACAGTACTTCAGTTACATCCAATGTAACAAACAGAAGTGGGAGGGACATGTTCTAATTTGTTTCTGTAAAATTAAGCACTGAATTTATCAACTGTGAAGAGAAAAGTATTTTCTAAAAACATTTTTTTTTAGGAGAAACATCAAATCTCCTCAAGTCACAGGCCTCAAGTCCGAGTCAAGTCCCAAGTCTTAGTCAATTTTATCAAGTCAAGGCTCAAGTCCTTAGAAAAATGACTCAAGTCTGACTCGAGTCCACGTCTTGACTTGCAAGTCCCCACCTTAGATGCCTAGTACTATAATTTTTTTTTTTTTTTCATAGGATAGATGAAGCCATCAGTCAATGTTTTGAAGCCATTGACTTTGCAAAACAGTATACAATTCCAGTACTTTCTGGTACTGTCTTATCAGAGAAAGTACGCCTCACCACATCCTCTGCAAATAAAATCAACAAAACTACCTTTATACCAGCTATCTCTGCTCACAGGACATCCCAGGACAAGGGCAACTGTTTGTTCCATTGAAGATTATGTAATAAGATACTTTTACCCCAAGTGCCTTAGATTAGTTTTTACATTTGAGTACATTTTAGAAAACCAAATGTTACTTTAAACTGTGTAGATATGACAGAAGAAGATTAGTGAAGTAGTGTGTTATTTCTCCTCAAGCAGTTTACTATTACTACTACTATTACTATATTTACTATTACTTATTTGACAGTTTGCCTGGTTATTCCTTACTTGTATGTGTTCTCAGTGGACATGATTCCCATAGTGTGTGCCAGGCATTGACTTCATCACCTGCAGCTGCCCATGACCCCCACAGGTTAACAAGCCAAAGACCTGCGCAACCATAGCTCACATCCACATGCACACACAGTCCCACAAGGAGCAGGCAGTTTGATGCTTTCCAGACATCTCCCTCCTCTCTCCCCCTTCATTTCTCCTCTCTCTCTCTCCCCCCCTACACTGCCTGGCACTCTCCCCACACATCCAACACAACTGCACCTCCCCCAGCTCCAGTCCAATCCTTATCAACGTTTCAGATTCTTGTTCCCATGCAAAGAGAGGCAGAACAGTGCATTATTTGTTTAAACTTGACTGATGTTTACCGCAAGATAAAATATGCAAGTTACAGGGTAAGGTTTGATTCGTGATGGTGGAAAAAGGCATTTAATTGTAGCTTTAGTTTGACTTCTTATTGTGTCTATATGGTTCCAAATGAATTGCAGAGCTTTTGTTTTCTGTTCCTTCCAGTATTTATTTATAAAAGAGTTACATGGGCTTTGTGAGATGCTTTGTCTCTCTGAATTGATGTGTTATTTGATATTATATCTGTTTGAGAGTCAGTTTTCCAAATGTATTTCCATCTGCTTCGTGGTTTATCCATTATGTTGTAAAGATAAACTATAATCAGAGTTTCTCCACATGCTAATAAAAGTGGACACAGAGTTTAGCAATGTGATCAAGCGATATCTGTATACCTCTGCAAATACAGGGCAGTGCAATTAATCACATTTTAATTATTCTCTTCAGTTAATTACAAGAACCAAACAATACAATTCAATAGATAAAGTAAAATTATATTCTGAAGCATATGGGTGCTGGTTCTGCCTCCAGTGCATGGCCTTTTTAAACATGAATTACAAAACATTAAAACATTACACACATTAAAAGAAATATCAAGATGTTCCCCTGACAGACTAACACTGTTATGATTTCCTATCCCATGTAACTACTTAAGGATTTTTAGAATAATTCCAACAGAGTGCCTTGGACTGTTTTCACCAATTTCTTACTCTATCACAGTAAGTTTTTATACTACAAGCCAGAGGTGGGGACTTGCAAGTCGTGACTTGGACTCCGGTCAGACTTGAGTCACTATTTTTAGGATTTGAGACTTCACTTAATAAAACAGACAAAGACTTGAGACTTGAATTGGACTTGAAGATCAGTGACTTGGGACTTGACTCAGACTTGAGGCCTGTGACTTGAAAAGACTTGATGCTTCTCCTAAAAAATATCCTTGCATTTCAGTGCAGACGACATGACAAAATAATAATATTAAGCTCTTTTAAATCTTAATTCTTTCTATTCTGACTGCAATGATTTACACTAAGATCTTGTCAAAGCATTTAAAATCTACAACTCTTATATAAATACTCATATAAATATACCATGACATTAGGTACAATTTAGCTTAAAATTCATATAAATTGCAAAAATCTAAGCTATATTTGGTATTTTTGTTTAAAGACTTGAACTGCCTTAAAGGTCAAGGCAGATGACTTGGACTTGACTTGGACTTATGGGCCAGTGACTCGACTTGGAC